TATATAAACCGTAGGCAGAGAGGGAGAAGAGGACAACAAACGAGGGGCTGTGAACCGTAGGCAGAGAGGGGGCAGGGGACTTGCAAGATGAGCTTTCTGCATCTGCATTTACCTGGCAAGAATGATTTTTTGTTCCTTTTATTTTTTTCAGTGGACCAGCTCCGGATCCATGAGTGTCATCCTTGCGCAGGGGCTGTGCTAATCTTTGGTGTATCATGCCCATTTTAACGGTCCGGAAGAACTGGCGGGAAGGTTTCCAGTTCTGCCACTCATTGATGCTGAAAGCTGTCCTTTTCCTTTTCTTTGTTTGAAGAAGGGGTTAGCCCCGCGCCTCACAATATCTTCTCTTTTTTCCTCAGCTTATGAGCAGTAAAATTTGTGTACCAGTAAGCCACATGGGTTGGATAAAGCTGTCCTTTTTCTTGACTCAAAGAGAAGCTGAAGAATACTGTGGGATTTGGGGGTGGGGGTGGGGGTGAGGGGGGGGGGAAGGGGCTCAGGGAATGCCATTGGATCCATCCTGCCATCCTGCCACTCTAAACATCATGGCATGAGTCGCATGACAGATCATTCTATTTCTTTTTTTTCCCGTCTTTACACCACCAGTACCTGCCGGTTGTTGCGGCTGTTAACGTGGTAGCCGAATCAGTCTGCCCGTCGCGTCCATATTCATTCGATCCGGGGGGGTATGAAAAATGCGGTAGGTACGGGTACTCTTTATTGCTTTTCCTGTAAAGCGTGTGTAAAGATGAGGGCCATCTTCTGCAATATATTGGCTGGTTGACTTCAAACATGGGCACTAGTATCTTTTTTGTTTTTCTGTCACTAGTATCATGATGGTGGCACAGAGCAGACATAGCTAAAAGTAAATATTTGGCGATGTAGATTGGCCGCGAGCCACTCTAAGCTGGAGCTTTTAATAATAATAAAAAGGAAAAAAAAAAAAGCTTCTTACCCTGTAAGCTAAGCTGGATAATGCTTCCAGACTTCCAGTTGGTATCCACCGGGGGCCTGTTTGTGAGTTTCCCGGGCCTCTATTCCAACTATGCAATGAAATGTTGAATCTTTTGGGGAAAAAAAAAGCTTTCAATTGGCGATGTGGACCCACTTTCATGCCAGTGGGTGAAGGATCTGTCCTTTCCAGCTCATTACAAATGGAGTTTGTCTTTTGCTTTCCAGGTCATCATGCAATCCAGAGAGATTTGCATTACATTTTTAACGCGTTTCGCCCTAGCGATGTCCTCAAAACCACAGGATCGTTGGAGCCAGTGGACTCTTTTTCCCAACACTGATTTTTACCCTGCCCCAAGAAATCCACACCCATGCGTCACCTGATTTGCCTGGCGTTTGTGCAAAGGGCACTCAGACCCCTTTCGGTGGGCATGTGTTAAATGGTAGCCATTTTTCTGAAGGGAAGGCCAACAAAAGGTGGTCGAAATCCAAAGATAACTTTCCCCCCCCCCCCAACAAAAAAGAAAAAAAAAAGATAATTTTGCTTTTCAAATCTGATGGTCTCTCGGAGTCAGAATAAGTCACAGAATAAGTCATGTTCTCCTCCGGCTACGGAGACTTTAAAGATATAGTGACAACTAGACGTCCATTTGACTCATTTGATACAGACCTCTCTGATCACTCAGATTTCTGGAACAGAACAGGGAATAAAGTCTCCCGAGTCCAGAGAGAGCTATTAGAAGCCCCTAGCATTTCTACCCCCACAACCGCCTGCGGCACACAAAGTGCCAACCAGCGGTGATAGTCCGCTTCATATCTCTGATTGGTATTAGTAGGGTCCTTGGCCAACACGGGTGTGAGTGTGAGTGTGAGTGGGCTGTGTGCGGTGGGTGGGAGAGTGTTGGCCTTAGACACTGCTGTTATTCGGTTTGGGGGGGGGAGGGGGGAGGGGAGGGGACGATGAAAAGAAAGGAGGCGCAGCTACTGGCAAAATGCTCAGTCTTTGCGTTAGCCGGATCCCCACTGGAGGCCCCACCCCATCCTTCACCACCATGGTTGGAGGGAAAGGAGGGGGGCGAGGGGGGTAACATGCATCCCCTCTGATGGCTAGAGGGAGACAACAAAGCTATGTTTGCGGGGGTCCCCTGTATAAGCCTTAGGGGAGGTGGTAGGTACGTAGTGAAGGTGAACTGAAAGAATTTGAAAGATGATGAAAGATTTGAGAGATGAATATAGAGTAATTAAAAAATATAAATAAATAAATGTTAGTGGATACAGGGTTGCCCCTGAGCTGACCCCCGAACGTTTGGGCGTTCGGGTGCCCGTACGGGGCCCGAACCTGAAGGGGTTCGGACCCCACAAAAAAAATTTTGGCACCTAAATATTTTATTTTATTCCTGAATTGTTTTTTGTGATTTCTCTGTGATGTAAGGTATCTCCCTCTTCATTTTGAAGCCATTCTGTTCAGCAAAGATGGTGGTATCAAAACTTTTTTGTAGAGTCTCTATTCAAAGATGGTGGTATCAAAACTTGCTTGCCCACTCACTACTTTGTTTCTTCTCTCTTTTCACTTTTTGTTTTTCCTTTGTTTCGGGGCACGACAAAACTTATTATTTTTTAAAACTTCGTTTGTAGAGTCTCTATTATGTAAGATACACATATATAATTTTTCATGGTATTTGTCACAGCCAAAAAAAAAAGAAAAATCGCCAAAGATGGCGGTGTCAAAAACGTGCTCGCCCAACACAAAACCACTGGGAGCGTTAGCGCCCAACACAAAACCACTGGGAGCGTTAGCTCTAGCACTCTCGAGCATTAGCGTTAGCGCTAGCGCCTCTGAATTTTTTCACCTGAGCGAGCGTCTGGGCTGTGGGGGATCGCGTTCGTGCATCCGCGATCAGTGCTACACGGTGCCAAAACCTAAGGTTGGGATGGCGGAGGAGGTGGGGGAGAAGAGGCGCGTGGGCGCAGGGTGGGGACTGCCTTGAGGAAGCACTGAAATGCTTCTGCCATACCCTGGTCCCGGCCGGTGTATGCTGGCATTCCTGGAGAGACTACTGGAGGATGGAGGAGATGTGTGGTGGTCCGAAGGGCGGGATCTGGGCGTCGCACATACCAGTATGCGAAACCTGTAAGGGACTTTTCCCCTGGCTTTGATACGGAGTCAGAAGCTGAAGATTCCAGGGATTCCCGGGAGAGCGAGACGAAAGACGCGTGTGCATCGACGAGCGCCGGCTTCCGGGAGAGCGACACTAGAGCTTAGTTGTGACTGGTATTGCCCATCGTCGTTGACATCGGGGAGATGAGAGAAGCGTGTGCACCAACGAGCGTCGGCTTCCGGGAGAGCGACACTGGAGCTTAGTTGTGACTGGTATCACCCACCGTTGTTGACATCGGGCTTTAAGCTGCAATAGGCGTAGCTTTGTGTTGCTGATGCCAGTGCTCCTACTTCGGGTGTGGTGTAGCTTGCGAACTCTTCATCCTTATTTGGTTCTTTTTTCAATTGTACAGATTATGAGGGTTAATTAGTTTATACGATTGGTGTGCGTAGTGGGTATTTCGTTTTTCATTTATTTGCCTATGAGCTAGTTACCGTTCAATTCTGTTGGTCTTCTTGAGTGGTTGGGGTGTAGATTTACGGTTGCGTTTTCCTTTTGATGGTTTGAGTTGGTTTGTGCTTTAATGTTAGGGTTGGTGATGTTAATTAGTGTTAATTAGGGTGTGATGTTAATTAGAGTTAATTAGTGTGTGGCGTTGCAGGCTAACGGGTGCTCAGCCGCAGAAGGGTTATTGATGTGAGGGACGCTGACTCATCCCGGCGGGCCGTGGTTATTGATCTGAGGGACGCTGGGCCCGTTTCCCAGCCTGTGATTATATGATAAACTCCTTTTTGAAAAAAAAAAAAAAAAAAAAAACTTGCTCGCCCACTCAGTAATTTCATTCTCTTTTTATTGTTTCTAATTTTCATTATTATTATTTATTTTTAGTATTTGATTTTTATTTCAAATTTGGTAAAGAATTTGGATGTAACGTTGAGGCAAATGTTGTTTAGTTTAGTCTTCTGCATAACATATATATTTTTCAGATGTTTTGGAATTCTTCTTCTTTTTTGGGGTAACTAGGGCGCAGTCACCAAAGCAGTTTGTAATTGCATTTCGAACTGCCGTTTTGGAGTCCAGTCCGGTCCCAAGTTTCAACTGCAGTCGAAACTCTCTACATGCACAACAGTCGCAAGGCCGAGTTTGCAACTGCAGTCCAGTCCGGCTTTTTTTTTTTTTTTTTTTTTTGTTAATATATCGGCCGTGGCCGAGGCATCGCGGCCGTGGCCCAGCCACGCGATGAGATGCACTCTCTCTTTCTTTTTTTTACCTAGGCTGTGGCGGAGGCATCGCGGCAGTGGCCAGCCACGCGACAGTGCTGAGATATGAAAAAAAACAAAAACAAAAAAAAGTGCAAAACGAGAGTGAATCTTCCATTAGAACATGGAAGGATGCAACGCCTCGAGGCCCCAAGGATGACAGGCATAGGTAGGGAAATCTGAGAAGGAAAAACAAAAAAGAAGAAAAAAAGAAAAGAAACTGTGGGGCTCGTTCGACACTCCTCGGGGCTTCCTCGGGCCCCAAGGACGATTCCTCGGAGTGGTTGGGGGATTTTGACGCCTTCGTTCCACTCATCCTCGGAGTCGTCCCCCGAGGACGATTCCTCGGG